AGGAGGGTCTATGCCAGCGGCCGAGGTGCAAACATCACCCTGAGGATGGGTTCCAGGATGGAAACCCTCTGACAAGCCTCTCCAACGCCAGATTTATATACGCTACGTTTCATGAAAGAAACCACTTTTAAATATGGTTCACCTTTCTCTCTTTCTCCCACCCCCAACTCCTAGCCTTCTTCTCCCCTTCCCCCAGCCTGCACAGTTAGACACTTTAGTTTCTCTGGTTTCTAGAGCTGAGATTCGAGCTTCCGCCAAGGCTGCAGGCCAAGGAGGCTGCTGGGACTTTCTTTTGGGACGAGCTGGGACTCTGGGAACTCAAAGACCCAACAGGGCGAAGTCTGGGTCCCGGGCTGCCGGTGTAGTCCCGGGAGGGTGTCGCTTGTTCTGCTGGGCTGCGGCGGCCGGGAAGACTTCAGACACCGCACAGTTAATATTGAGTTCCCTACAACTCCTTGTAAATCTAACCCGCCCCTCGCCCCCCTTTAAAACCGTGGTCTTGTTCACGATTTCTTACGTGACGTAAAATTCCTTGTTACCTAATCATGGACTTTTTCGAAACTCCTTCCACCCCACTTCCGCCTGCTCAGATGAGAATCCCCTGTATAGCAAAGAAGCAAAACCTCTCTTTTTTTCTTTCTTGGATGGAAGTCTCATAGTTTGAATTAAACACCCCAGACTAGTTCCCGCTGCAGTAATAACAGCGGGGTCCTCCTCACAGCTCCTCCACCAAAAACGCACTCTCCAAACAAAAACTGACGACCTCATGAAACGGCTTCTGATTAATTTCAGGCAAGCAAGGGCACCTTTGCACCTTCTGAGCGAACTGCCGGACACTGGATTCTCCAGCCCAGATCCTCCTTCTAGAGACTACTCAGTGTTCTCCAGCTGGGGGAAGAGGGAAGGAGACACCACACCAACAGAGCCCAGACCATTTGCAGGCTTTGCAATAAGGACTTTGCTCTTTAAGAGCAGCTCGTTCTCCTGCGTAGACCGCAGGTCAGGTTGAGTGGTTGGAACTACTGAGTCTTTAAAATAAAGTTAGAGGCAATTATGATAATTTAGTTTACTTCTGAATATTTTAAATACTAAGAAAACAAGTATAACAGCTTTGTTTTCAAAACTCTCTTGAGGTATCAACCATGAAAAGATTAGGGTTTTTGTAAAAAAAAAAAAAAAAACACACACAGTGGTTTATTGAATACTTACAACGTTTACACCTTCAATATTAATTAAATTCCATTTAGTTTTAGAGGACGGAAGTGCACAAAACAAGTGGCTGTTGGAAACATCTTCAAAGAGGAAACGACCACAGATGAACGGACAGCACTAGATACCGACCCCAACGGAAATGTTAGCGGCCTTGTTTTCGGCTTTGAAATAAAACTTTATAAGCCCCAGGAATATTTATATCCAAAGGCCAAGTATTAAAGATACACTTCACAAACACACTAGTGCCCACTGTCTTTGTCTGGAAGGGGTTGAGTAGGGGGGGTGGGGGCAACGCTGCTGTCTACACAGCCAAGAGGGAACATTCACACACACAGAATCTACGAGACGACGGGATCCCTTACCACACACGGGAGTGTCCTCTTCATATTAAAATATGGAATGCTTTTCTTCAAATATCCACTTTTTCTTTTGGAGGGGGAGATGGGGAGCAGATGCCTCAAAGGGGGTCAAAGAGAGGGGAAGGAAATTGCACATAAATAAACCAGATGATTCCAAATGCAAGGAGTCCTCAGAGCCGAGCACGGACGGCTTTTCCGGAGTCCTGGGTCTGCATCTGGCGTCGTGGCCAGGGCTCACTCGCGCTCTCCTCCTCCTCCTCGTTCTCCTCCTCCTCCTCACTGCTTGAGCTCCAGGGCCCAGACGTGCTGCGGCCAGCCCGTCCGGCCTTTAGTTTTCTTGTCGTTGCTGCTCACTGTGCTTTTCAAGATTTCGTTCTGGGCAGAGGGAAGGCGAGGGCGAGAAAAGTGGAAAGAGAAATTCAGAGAGCATACCTTGTCCCACACTACCCCGTTGCTTCCTGGGCCAGAGGAGACCGTGAGCCAAGGAGGAAAGGATACTAGCGGAGAGCCCCAGCCCCTGCAGAGAATCTACAAAGGTTAGCACTACCCTAGCCTGCTCCTAGGCCTCCTTGCTGCAGTGCTCAACTACCAGATGCACAAGTTTATAAACAACCGTCCGTTTTCGAGGCGTTTATGGAGAAGCTGGGGGCCTTTTCTCTTACTCCAGATGTAGGGGCGGGAGCTGGAGTCAGGGCTTAGTCTGGTTTTTCTGTTTTCAATAGCAATCCCAGATCCATATCTAGGAAAATTAGGGAGAAGGAGCCTCTGGTTCGGCCTGGGCCTCTCGGCCAGAAGCTCTCGGTCCCTGGCTCAGCAGTGCCTCTCCTCCAAGGCCTCTGAAATCTCTGGTTATTCGGGAGGTCACTCGATTATACAGCCACCAAAAGGCTGCAGGGGCTAAAGAAGAAAAACTCGACAAATGCAATTATTTTCCGGGCCCTTCGTGGCCATAGCTCTATCCTGCACCACCGTCCTGTGGGCACTTGGTAGCAATCTGAGAAAACTGTAAACGGCTCCATTTACTTTCGTGTTATTTTTTAATAACAATGACCACGGTAATGCTTTTTTCCTATTAATATGTAGAGGCTCATTCAAATAAAACTAGAAATGCCCATGGCATATATTCATCTCGGAAATTACATTTTAACGTCATAGCCAAAGAAAAATTGGAGCTGTATTTTAAAGCCCAAGGTACTTATTTTATGTTTACCATTACGTCTTCAGGGCATATTAATGAGAACTACCACAAAACTCAGGGCTCAGTCTCAGTGGCAGCCTCCTTCTGGGGTGGGGTAGGGGGTGCGATCAACAGTGGTCATTGGGATCAAGGGCTTCTTCAAGACTCATTCTGTAAACATCTGAAAGCAAGATCGGATTGGAGGCCAAAAGAAAGGTCTAACAGATACGGGATGAGGCATCTAGGCCAGTGTGATTGCGGTCGACCGTGACGCAGAGTTTTCTAGGTCCGTCCTAAGTGCCTAGGGAGCAGCGATAACCCAGCGGTAAGATCACCAGCGCAAAGCATCCTTAACCTTCTCCTCCTCCTGCTGACATCCTACCCTCATCTCCCTGCTCGTGCTGGAAACCATCCTCACACAACCTGGTGCAAACAACCTTAGCGCGGGATGCACAAGATGTTATTTCCAGCCCCACTGGAAAGAGGCCCGGAGCACCCGTCTGCTGACCCCTCAGCCCCACCGCGCGCCGCCCCCTGGTACTGACCAGCTCCTTCTTCCTCTTCTCCTCTTTCACGTCGGTCTTCTTGATCTCCGCCTTGAAGGCCTCCGCCTCGCCATTCTGGTCGTCCTTGGCCAGAAGGTCCATGAGGTAGGCGATGTAGCTGGTGGCCAGGCGCAGGGTCTTGATTTTGGAGAGTTTGGTGTCTGCGGGGACGTTGGGGATGCACTCGCGCAGTTCGGCGAAGGCGCTGTTGATGCTCTGAGTCCTGCGCCGCTCCTTGCGGTTGGCGGTGCCTCGGCGCTTCACTGGGCGCGGTCCCCCCAGGCCCGGGGGCCCGGCGCCCGGCGGCACCCCCCCATAATGGGAGTGGTCCATGCCGGCGGCACCGCTGGCATACTCGGGGCTGTAGGACAGGGCCATGCTGTAGTCGGGGGGCGACATCTCGGGGTGGCCGATGAGCCAGCCGTGGAAGTAGGGGTTCTCCTCATGGCTGCAGCGGCTGGCGGCAGCAGCGGCAGCGGCGGCGGCAGCGGCGGCAAACGGGTAGCCCTCGTGGTGCACCACCGGGTGGTGGGGAAAGCCGCCCACCAGACTCATTTCGCCCTCCGTGCCCCTCCACAGGCCCCAGCGTGCGCGCAGCCCCGCCGCACCCTCGGCCCGGGCCCCTGGCTCGGCGCTGGGCGTCCTCCCCCACCCCCCACCCCCCAGCCCCCGGGCGCCCGGGCCCGCCCGGCAGCCACAGAGGGGGCTGCTGCAGCCCGGGCCCCGTCCCCGCGCCTGGCCAGCCGGGCTTGCTTCAGCAGCGCTGCGGCTGCCGGCTCCCCATGGGGCGCGGCGAGCTGGTCCAGGCACCGTGCGCCCCTGGCCGCTGCCGCCGCCGGCTCCCGCCTTGCTCCACGGCCCGCGCTCCGGCTCCTACTTCCCGGGCTGCTACGCGGAGGCAGAATCCTCTCGTGCTCATACAAAGGTGCCGGGGCTCCGGCTAGGCTGCTTCGCAGAGTCTCGGGAATCCACGCCCCGGCTGCGTTCCTGGCCCCGAAGCTAACCCGGAATCCAGGGGCGAGTCTGAGCCGCGGCTGGAGGAGCCGGTCTGCCTGCGCCGGGAGGCGGCGGGGTCGACCTGCTCACTGCAAAGCTACCTCCGTGCGACCCTCCCTGTCCCGCCTCTTCCCCTCCCCCCCACCAGCCCGTCTGGGTTCTTGGGCGCTTATTGTTTTAATGGAATTTTTGGTTGTTGTTGTTTTGGTCCTTAAATGTGATTTTAGCTGCGAGTAACGTGTCCTCGCTCCTCTCGGGCTCTCTCGGAGGGTTTTCAGAGAGGTCTCAGTGCATCCATTTTCTCAGATCCTCTCCTTTCCGGGCAAGGATCTGGGGCCCTGAATGCGCCTTGGAGCTCGAAGGAGGCGGCTCGGGCTCTCGGAAGGCTCTGCGCGGTCGCCGAGGAAGCTCCGGGGTGGTGGCGGTGGTTCTCCTGAGCCAGAGGACGTGAGGGGAGCCAGCGGATTTTCCCAGCAAGATCTCCATGTACAGCTACATCTTTAGGGCCGCTCGGGTTAATATATGTCGTCAGAGGCTCCTCGCGCCAATCCCCGGGCGGCGGGGGCGGCGCCTCGAGCTCTCGGCAATAAAACTTTTTGATGTTCACGTTGCTAATTGCCGAGGCCCTCTTCCAGGATTGGCTGCCTCCTCATAACCATAAGATAATTAAAACTTGGGGGGAGGGCAGGGTTAAAAAAACTTTTTTTTTTTTTTTTTTTAATCAGCAGAGGATAATGCAAGTGTTTAACAGATGCTTCACTATTAAACTATTTTTTTCCCCAAGTCTCAAATATTGAAGAATCTCTAACCAGGTACAGTATCACTCTGCTTTCTTTTCCGGTTAAAAAAAAAGAAAGAAAACGCAGGTATTGCTTTTCAAGTGGTTCGTGGGTAATCGAGGCAAGAAAATAGACGCAGGCAGCTTCTTACAATTTTATGCAGGGGGCGCCAGGAGCCTAGTGGCGGGCGGTGGGGGTCCCCACTAAGGTGCCGATAGGAGTCCCGCTGTCTCCTTGCCCCGGCGGCCGCGGCAGCAGCGACAGGGAGGGGGTGGAGAAGGGTGTTTCTTTGACCTGTTTACAGGCTGGAAACGCCGGTCTCAGTGGCTATTGACTAACCCACCCTGTTACCCCGGTTAGAGCTGTTTGGGGTGGCTCACGTTACTGCGGCAAACTTTAGAGATAACGGCTGAGTCCTCCGGGCGCAGGATCAAGCCGATTGTAAACCTGTTATTTCCACATCCTTCAGGGACAGCAGCCCCGATGAAGACCTCAGGCGATTGCGAAGTGCGGGCACCTCGATTCCCCGAATCTGTAGTGTGGCTGGTATCGGTGTTCCCCTGGTTTAACTAGCCTGTTTGGTAAGTAACTGAATATTTTTTACAGCGTGTTCAGAGCTTATTTTCCAGTTTTTATGAACAAACATATAAATATATCTCTGCATTCCTGCCTCCCTCATAAAAGCGGGCATCTGTGGAAAGCAGGTTTAGTTATCGGAGGGGAACCATTAAACGCCAGTTTAAGAGGCAGGCCGGGAGGACGGCTCGTGGATGTTTAGACTGCCGGCCTTGGTGATCTTGAACGCATTATAACGGAAAATGGATCTAATGGATCTCCTCTTGTAAGTCACCAGCCGCGGGGCACCCGGGCCGCAGCGCCCGCGGGGTGGGAGCTTCTTCGGGAAGGCTCGCGTGCCGCGAGGGGCGGGTGGTCAATGGCAGGAGCTGAAATCACCCAGGCTTGGCCCCAAGCCGAGAGGGGAGGCTGATGTGTACATACAGATTCCACCCAAAGGAATTCGGTGTGGAAAACGGTGTCAACAGGAGCCCGCCGGCTGTAAATTAGAGTTAGGCGAGGACAGAGTGTGCGGGCGCTGGCGCGGGACGGGGCGGCCTGGGGCTCGCCGCTGGGCAGGCCAGGGTAGCCCAAGGGAGACCAAAGACTCCACTTTGGGCATCGCCCTTTGGAAGCGGGCAGAGTCCAGCCGCAGGCCGCAAGGCGAACCCCACCTGAAGGACTCCACAGGACAGTCCTTTCCTTGCTCGCCGCAGCCGACAAAGTGGTTCCGGCTGGAAGGCGACGTCAGTGCGAGTGGAGGGCGTCCCATTTCGGCTTTGCGGTTGACTCTGAGCTCGGGCCCTGCCCTTCCACTAGCCCTAGAGACTTGGGCAGCAGGATTAAGAAAGATACGTATTTAGGTTTGCTGCAGCTTGCGGGGTAGGAGAGAAGGACTTAAAAGCCCAGGATGAGAGTGGTGTAGGGTCCATTCTGTTTCTAGGTAAGGGGTTAACATTCTCGAAACACCACCACCCACCACCACCACCACCACCACCACCACCACCACCACCACCATCCCGCCACCCCCCGGCAAAGCATTCAATGCCTTAAGGCAGAATAGGGAGTAACTGAAACCAGGCTCCTTGGTAAGCGCCAGAGGCTTGCAGTTGAGCTGGGAACAAAATAGTGACCTACATACAGCTCTAAACCCCCAACTTGTGGGAGTCTGCAGATTTGAGCACAAGGAGAGCTGTTTAAAGACCTAGTTCTTCAAGGAAAGAATACAGGTAGTGTGGTTGGGGGTTCTGTTTACATTTTCACCCGGAGGCAAACCCTGAATGTGTAAATACTGGTAGTTCAATTCTCTGACATTTGATACGTTTTTGAAAAGTCTGTTTATAAAAACACATTTAGGCCTTGGGAGCAGGTAGACAAAGTAAGGTTGCATTGGGCTGGGAACATATAAAAATTCAGGGAAATTAGTTGGTTGGCTGCGTTGATACCCAGAGGGAGTTTTGCGACTTGAATGGAAGAAGAGTCTAGAGGAGGGCCCAGTTGGGGATTGAGATTCTCTGTTCACTAGAGGCAAGCAGTGAGTGGCCTCACTTTTGAAGGCTTCAGAATTTGCCACTTTAAGCCCTTCTCATGCTTTTAATTGAAACAAAACAAACAAACAAAAACGAGTGAATTGCTTCATCGCCCCAGATAGCATTGGGAGTGGTAAAGTAAATGAGCAACTTGATACAGAAAAAAGAAATCACTAAAAGATGCTAATCTGAATGTCAGTTCTCACTGGCAGTGTCATTATTATCAATACAGATAATAATTAACTGTATTATCAGTTACTTGCTGTGGTCCAAGGGCCTAAGACGATACAGCTCAGAAACCCAAGCCCAGAGGCCACTGCCTTAGAAAGGTGGCTTGATGGGAGGGGACAAATGGGTGAATCTTAGTGGTATCCCCAACTGGAGTAACTGACTCAGGGAGGCCAGGCTGGCCCTGACTGGTTGAGCTCTACCCTAAATGCACAAACAGAGCCATTTTTCTCTTTCGATGTGCTATGACCTGTTTTGCTCCAGGATACCGGGTTAGCCTGCTCCTTTGGAAAGATGGGAAGCAAAAGATGCCATCTCAAGTTTGCCCCCAATTTAGGTTTCCCGGGCATCCTGGTGGCAGTGATGGAGGTGATGGTAGTGGTGGTGATGAAGGAGAGGGTGGTGTTGGTGATGAGAGGGAAAGTGGGGGAAGTAAGGGAGAAAGGTACGGTCCCTGATTTTGAGGTCAGCATGGGGACACCACACCTGAGCTACACTAGTGTGGCCACTGGTGTACAGGTTCCAAGTACTCAAAGACCCAGGGAACTGGCCTGCTGGGGGCTCCTCTGTGTGCCTGTGGAAGAATTCTAACTAGGGGCGGTTCTCTGTCTCTCCTTGGAGTCTGAGGGCTGGCTGAAACCGGTCTCATCTGAGTCCAGAAACTGCTTCACAAGGAGGCAGCCTGGGTTGGGGTGAGTGAGGGTTTGGGATGCTCTGTCTTCATTGTAGCTGACGGTGCACCTACTGTGCTGTGCATGTCATCTGCCTTCGGCCAAATAGTTTCAGGTTCAAACATGTATTTTGTTCCTCATGTCACTCGTCTCTTTGCCATCACTGCTACTTCTTTCCCTGGAAAAGATTGAAAGAGCACCAGAGGGACTGAGCATGCTCTTGCTAACATTTTGGTCTTGTGAGATATTATTATACTTTAAAAAATCAGTCTGGTTTAAACTAAAACTAATTTTAAAAAATCTTTAGTTAGGTTTTAACTAAAGATTGTCTCAGGGTATTTATTATTTCAAAGGCAAGGGCAGTTTTTATCCTCTGTTTTGCTCACAAGACCTCAAAATAAACTAGACCCAAAAAGAATCAGGCCGGAGGGTCATAAATGCACATTTTATGTTCATGGGAATTATGGCTCAAGTCTCCTCACCGTCTTTCAAGTCTCGTTTCACTTTGTTTTTCTAACCAACATAGTGGAAGTGACTCTGACCACTCCCTTCAGAATCTTTAATGCTCTTACATGAGATGAGCCTCAGAACTTGCTAAGAACCTCTGAAAGAACATCAAGCCTGGAAGGTGACAGAAGGAGCAACAGGTTCTTGAAGATGTCACCTCAGCCCACCTGCTCCAAGGACAGTGTTTCTTGTGACACTCTGACAGCTCTGCAGTTCCTGTCTGTACCAGGGTGGGGAGGAGTCATTTTACATGTTATCCACTTAGTCCCAGGATGTTTAGGATGCCCAGAACAAGGCATATTGTCTGAGTGGTGGCAAGGGTCTCCCTCTAACTGGGGTTGTGTAGTCCTTTCCCTTTCTTGTTTGCCTTTGGGAAATGGTTGTCTCCAGACACAGCAAGTGAAAGTGGCTCTAGGAATGTGGTGCTGCTCAAAGCACACATCTGCAAAGCAGAATCGAATTCTACTGGATTTCTGTGACTATTTTTAAAAAGGAAGGGCAAGAAAAGCTGCCCTTCTGTCTTATGAGGATTTTTCCTTCCTCTTTTAAGCAGGTTTTGTATTTTGGGGGTAGGAGGTGGTGTATTTAGTGAGTGGATCCTCTTCCTTTTTCTTTCCTACACAGAGAGATGGAGGGGGGAAGGGCTAGTTCAGCTGAAAGATGACCGTGGAGGGGCTGATTGCTTATGAATCCTTCAGTCCGGCTCTGATTAGAAAACAGTTAAGTCGGTGGAGAAAATCAGGGCTTGCTTAGTGTCTGCACTTCCCTCCTCCCTCTTTCTCTTCTCCCTCCTTCCCGTCTTTCCCCTCTCCACCCTCCTCCCTCCCTCTCCCTCTTCTTCTCTCCATTTCTCCCTTGTAATTTGCCCCCTAGCAGCATTTGGGGTTACAAGGTGTTTTCTTCCCCTCATCACTGAATCAGCAACTAGTGTGGAAGAATGAAATTCTGGTTCACACTGAAGTCTTTTAAGACAAATCTTAATATCCACAGTCATTAGAATTTTCCTTTCTTTCTAAATAATCAATGACTAGATCCCCATATTAACTGATAGATATTCTGCTGCACTGGAGGGTTTTCATTGATAAGGGACAACTAAATATTTTGCCAGGTGTCCAAGTGTGTCTGTAAGTCTAGAGTACTTATTCAGACTAAAGGGACCATAAGATAACCCCGCGAAAGCCTCAAAGAAGCAGCATGATGTAGATACATGGAAGGTATTATTAATGTTATTCTACTAGTCCTAAGAGATACAGTAAGTCTAAGCTTTGCTGTTCTTTGCTACTTTGTAGTAAAATACAGAGTTTAAAGCAAAACCAGTGTGAGAACATACATCCCATAGGATTTATGTTAAATACTCATTCAAATTATTGTTTCAAGCAGATTGCATACACACTAGTGATATTTTCTTCCAAGCTGGGAAGAAATCACTCAACATTCAGATAAGGAAGTGTGATTTTGCATACGTGTTCTGTGGAAATAGTAAGTAATGGTCTTCACCTAATCTGCAATGTATTATGGGGTTCAGAATAAAATACAAGTGCAAAGGGCAATTTAAAATGGGGCTTGGGAGAGAAAACATTTATGTTACTGAAAGATTTGCTTCTGACTTGAGGCCCAGGAACATTCCTAGTTTTAACTGTAGTGTTGCATTCCTGGGAAGTTCTGTTCCATAGCTTCCTTTGCAAATTCACATAGATGGATTTCTTTAGCTCTGACAGTTTCCTCCAAACCTTTCCTGCATCGTTCCAGGGCCCTTGCTTATAGGCAGGGGAGTTACACCAGGATGGTTAGGTTTCAGGTTAACAAAAAGAAACACTTTTATTGTCAATATTAATGGCAAACCTCGATTTTTACAAGGCTTGGGTTTAGCAGTGTGAGCAGATCAAAAGCAGCTTGGTTTGATTTCTCAATATTCTCTGGAGCTTAGACAATTAACTGCAATTTTGCTGTTAACGAAACAACACAAAAAAGTGAGTTATAGAAGTGTTATAGGTAATCTTTTGGCAGAGACTTTAACCTGAATACAACATATCAGAAACTAAAAAATTTATCTACTGAACTTGAGTTGAGTTTTGCAGGAAAAGTCCTTAAGAAAATGTTGTGTGAACTGTGTCCTCCATTGCAATGTCATAAGCCTGTTTCAGTGTGTGCATTCCAGTCTTGCCTTTCTGGCTGGGTAAGAATCCGGCAGACTGAGGTCTCCTTGGTAATTTGGGTACACCGAGTCTCCAGTTAATGATAGATAATCAGCCTTTGGGTCATTCGGTCATTCTCTTATTACAAACCCCTCCTGCTCTCTCTGATCTCCTTTCAAACTAAATTTCAAACAAACAAATAAAGCAAGACAGGGACAAGTTCTTAAAAAAAGAGAGAGAAATATTAGAAACGCCTGATACAGAACTCTAAACAAGGGAAGGCAAGCTAAAAGAGGATAGGAAAGAACATCTTATCAAAATGAACATGTTGTGTACAAAACATTAAAAGAAAAGGCTCTGGTTTCTGTTAAAGTGACAGAAAATTAAAATAAAAATAATTGCAGGCAGCAAAGTTATAAACAGAGAAGGCAGGATGCTAGCTGGAAATGCGCAGCACTAGGGGGCTAATTTGTTGTTGCAAATTATATATCTGCACCATGGTTGGAGAGGTGCTGCTTTGCTCCATTTTCCAGAAGAGAATGGTTTTTCTTTTTAATACTTGCGTGAGTGCCCACTTAAGTTAACACAGGCCACAACTTCGAGGAATGAGAAATGGAATTGCATTCTGCTTGCAAAGCATCCAACTTCAAATGAAGAAATTGGGTTGTGTACAAAAAAAAAGTGGAATTTCATTCAGAATTCATTTGGAGACTTCACTAAATTGGTGTGACTGATGCTTTTTTGTTTTGCTGACAGAATGTGCAGATCATTCATGGGGAAGTATAACTGGAACCAGTCCTCCCACCCCCTGGGGGTCTTCACTTTCCCAGTCTACATCTGCCTGTGACTTCAGAAAGACAAACTACAGTTTGGCCAAGGTACATCTCAGATGAGAACCCTCTGGGAAAAGCACGGGAATGCTTGGCTCTAGCAGTTAGGAGCTCTGGTGAGAGCGCCCCTAGTACCGTTTTCCCATCTGTGCCCTTGACGGTCCCCTTTGGTCTAAATCCAGGGCTCTAGACAGTCAAAGTCTACCTGCTGGGTGTCCACTCTCAAGCCCTAGGATTTCAATACTAGAAGGGATTAGAACCTTGGCTCAACATTTGGTCAAGGCAATCCTTCAATTGAGGAGGGCAGCTGGGGGACGGCAGCAGGGGATGAAAATGTGACGTCTATCTTGTTCCCAACTGTGGGTCTGGCGCTCTTCAACTTGCCAGTATGCAGGGAAACAACCCATCTCTCTCCCATGTTGGAGAATCCACAGTTCGTTCCTTGTAGGCCCAGCCTAAGTGTTACCTCCCCCAGGGAGCTTCTCCAGATATTACTTCTCCTCTCTTTCCCTGCTCCTTCCCCCAAATTAAGTCTTCTCTTCTCAGTTCCTTCCTGGTGCTGTCACTTATTTTCTTTAGGGTAGATCTCGGGCAAGCATATGTCACCTTCTGTGACTGGGTTTCTTGAAAACTCAAGTCAATGCATTGCACCAAGGAGATGTTTAGACAGCCCATATAAAAGGAATGACTAAGGGAAATCTGGTGAATCCCGTCTCCTCCAGTTCCAATAAGATTACTTGCCTTTATTTGGAAAACGATTTGAACTAGTAGAGGAGTTAGCTGTCACCCACTAAGGAAGAGATCGTCATCTCCAAGCCGTCCTCAGGCTCGGTGGGGCCTGCCCTGGGTCTGCATTAATTTACCCTGGCTCTGAGAGGGAGGCTCAGCCCCAGCCTGTCCTCTCTGGTGCCCATTCACAAGATCCTGAGCTCCAACTCCAAGCTGGGCAGGGCCGACTCTAGACACCCCACGGTTCGGCTGAGTGATCTCGGGCAAGCACCTCGGCGTCTCTAAGTCTCGGTTTCCCATCTGAACAATGGGGATGATGACGCGTACCTGGGGTGGGCAGGCTAGATTAAAGGGGATCAAAGCCCAAGCCAGAGCAGGTTGCGCTCAGTTAGAATTCCTGATTTTCTCCTCCTGCCTCTTTGGTTTCTTCCGTTTCCTTTTAGCTGCCTGAAGACCCAGCCCGACAGCGACGGGTGCCAGGCCGCGTCGCCCACCAGGGCAGCTGCTCTCTCGACTCGCGTGGGGGGCATCACCTCCCCTCGGTGCCTCCGCGGGGATCCCCAGGGCCTCAGACCTTGCGGCCGGCGGCGCGGGAGTGTGGCGGGGCAGGGACCGGAGGCGACCAGACGGAACCCCGGATTTAGGCCGCCTGCATTCCAGCCACTGGAGTGGCCACTGGGGCGCCCCTTCCATCCTGGTTAAATTCTCATTGTGACCCCCAGCCTCCGCCTAGGCGGGTTCTCCGCCGCTCAGGCCGGAAGAGGTCACGACTCCGGGCAGGGTGGACCCCCAGCTCCATTTTGGAGGAACTTTCGCCCGAAGCAAGCAGGAAGGGGTTAACCACGAGCCTCCCACCCTCACCTCGCAGCCCCCGGTGGTGGTGCCCGGCGAAGCGAAGGCCGCCGCTTCCCTCCTGAGGTCTCATTAGGGAAACCCTCGCCGCTATTTTCAACGTTTCCTCAATCAAGTGCCTTTAAATAGAGCTGCACAAACAGATTGGCGGCAAGAGCGTAGATCTTGTCACGATGGAGACCAATCCAGTATTTCAGCCTTGTTTGCTTTACAATTACGGGTTGGCTTGTGGCTGCGGTGCCACCGGGGCAAATCTGCAGCCGCTGGCTTTCTCCTCTGCGCTCCGGGCGGGCGGGTGGAGGAAGCGACCCTCGGAGTCACAGCCGGGAGGAAAGGGGGGCGCGCGCACTGGGGTTTGGGGACGGCGGCGCGGGGCAGAGGGGCCTCGCTTGTACCCCAGGGCCGCGGGCGCGCACGGCTGTGTTGAAGGACACACTTTTCAGGCTCCTGACAGCCACTGAGCTATGTGCAACAATAAAGTGCGTGATTCGCGTTTGGAAACCAGTGTCGTGCCCTCACCAGCTTCCCTTCCTGGCCCGCTTTCCCCTCTTCTCTACCTCCGTTTCATTTTTCTCCAGAGTATGCTGGTGGTTTGCTGGATTTCCCTTCTCCCTCGCTGTTCAACGGCTAGCATGATTTGTTACATTTTCCACAGCTGTTTATTCTTGTTTCACTTTTTGTACAAAGTCACTTTAAATCTGCTGCAGGAAGAATAAAGCTCCTAGCCCTCTGGATGGGATCCCGCAGGCGAGTGGCTGTCCCCGACCCACTTTTGATTCTTTGGAGGCGGCTCTTCTGTGTAAATTAGCCCCTGGGTGCGTTCGCTCACCTCTAGGCCAGCCTAGTTTGTATCCGCAGTACAGTAGTGAACTCAAATCAGGTCGTAAGCCTTATATTTCACAGACAATTACCTCTTGGCTGCTGTTGAACAAAACTGTAATATTTACTCCGCTCTATACCGAGGAGCACTTTTAAAGCAAAAGAAACAAAACAAAATACAAATACTATATTTCAAAAAGAAAATATGACAATAAATCTCTTTTTTATGGATTCTCTCTGCAGAAATGGAAACAACATGATTTACATCCCTGGCACTCCCACCCCCTTTTCAGACACAGCAGAAGTTGTGCAGATTCTGTCTTCTAACACATAATCTCTCTCTCTGGGGGGAGGCACTTAGGTAGGCTACATTCGATTTCATTTCTAAGGTTTCAGGCCCCTCCCCGACCCGTGTAGTATGCAACAAGGGTTATCAAATAATAAGGTTTTGGTTGTAAAGTCTACTGCACACAAGAATTCAAAATGATGGGCAAGACATGGGTAATTATGTTACAACTTCATATTACTTTCCAAATGAATACCCATTTTCTTCTCATGTCAACTTCTAGAAATGGGAAGCTGAGGCAGAGAAATATTTTTACGAGACTCTGGAGTACATATTAAAATGTGTTTCTTTATTATTTGAGAATGTGTAAGGTATGGACCTAGATTTGTTTGCTGGTGGTCATAAAATAAATTCATAGCCATTGTGGCCAATAAGCAATCTCCTTCATGCTTTAAAAGTTCTTGGTTTATAATCCCACCTGGATTGTATTTTCACTATTCTGTATCACCCTCCTTTTGCAATATTTTGGTTCTCAATATTATGTAAAACAAACCTTAGAAATAATCATTTCCATAAAATTGTGCAATGGGAAAGCCACAGAATATTTTGAATCCATATTGTTATGCATGCTCAGGTATATAGCTCTTTCACAGTTTTCTAGCTAACCAATTGCTTTAGTATTTCAAGAAATAGGAAGCAGTAGCTACCAAGGATACCATTTCATAAGAATTGTATTTTCAGAGAAAAAATTGGTCTGGGGCATTATTCAATGCAAAAAAATTATAATATCACTTTCATATGTGTTAATCTGTTTAGTATTAAAACTGCTAACGTGTCTTAACCATGAACGTGTTTTGCCATACCACTTTCAAATGGGTGATCTGAGATAATTACACAGATTTTGATGTTAATCCCATGTTAAGTGAACAACTATGAAAATAATCTTAAAGCATTATTATTCTCTTGTAAGTGCCAGCAAACACAATTGTAGAGAGAACATGATTACTTTTTATCTGACATTATCCCATAATGGTATGGCTACATTTATTTCTTTTAAAATTGGAGCAGTTTTCAATTACTTTTTAACAGAATTGTTTTCAACACAGCATTTAGCCGTGCCCATAAATCATTGAAACTTTGTACTGACCAATACATATTTTTCTACATTATTATTTATTAGCCTTTTTGCAAACTCAATAAAATAGAATAGTATTAAAAATATGAACATACAGAGAACAATTATTAGGTTCTACATATTTATTTAGGTAAACCAATGTTATTAAAATTAAAAACATGTGCCTGGCATATAAGTGCTTCTTTAGGAATTCTTTTTTGGATTCCTAGTTATTATTTTTTAAACCAACTCAGATTTTCAAATATTGATTTGCTTCTCTGAATAGGCATGGCATTGTTTTAAACAGTAGCTCTTGGAATAATGCCGTCTTTAGTATTTTAGACTTTCAAATAACAATTGGAATTGGATAAATGCTTTCAGCTGGGAGCACTTTCCTAATACCTTTGTAGGTAATGTGATTCTTTATTTGTGCTGGGTGACAAATGGACAGTGGCCTGGACAGACTGCTTACCCTCTGTAGAATTTACCAAAAAGTAAAGTTTTCCTATGAGATTGCTTGTGGTACATATAAAAATGAAAAAAAAAATCAGAAAATGAGCAAGGACTTTTCTAACTACAGGTATGAAATGATGGTTTAAAAGGGAATTTAGAAAATAAGACTGGAGTAATACAGAAACAAAATCTGAAAAATAAAGTTTGCTTAGACAGGAACTGGCTCTTTGTCTATAAACCAGAGGCTAAGTAAGGAGTTGGATCCAAACGCATTGAATTATTTTTGTTTGATTGTTTATTTTCTTCCATTCAGTGCCTTTTAAATTGTTTTTTTACTGGATGAAGAAACTCGACCAAGAAAATGTATGTCAATTCTTTTAAATGGGACAATATTAGCTGCTGCAATTTTTAATACTAGCATAAAATATAAGAATCTTTTTTTATTACTATATATTTTTTTCCCTAAATGAATGCATAGTGTAACGATTGGTGTCAAAAAGCACTGATTTTTTTTTTTCAAATGGATTAAATTGGAATAATAAGCTATAGCCATGAGGTGATTTCTGTGAAGTCTGACTTGCTAAGAAGAAAGTGAAAAAGGTTTTTCTGGCAGAAATATGGCAACTTAACTGTTATTAATCTAGACTAAATAAAACAGAAAACTGCCTCTTTACATTTATAGTAATTTTTTCTGCCTTTCCAAACATTGTTACGTTCTATGCAACTTGTGCTATTCAAGTAAAGATGATATCAGTAATAAAATTACAGAATCTAATCAAGTGACTATTTTTACTTTATTACAAAATTTATATATTTAATTGGAATGTTGAATTGCTTAGTTTTTAGAACGCTGAATTTTTTTTTTTCTAGACAGTGTGTTATTTAATGAAGTGCTTATAAAGATAAACATGATGGTTCATCAAAGGTAAAATAGTTATGGTAACAAGGTGACATTTGAGTCAATGTGGTATGGACTCTTCTTTGACCTAGGTATTTATAAGGGGAACGTCTGAGAAGAGAAACTCAGGAGTCCTCAACTTACACAGCCAAGAATACACAACCATATAGAAGAACTTGCCCTCAGAAGCATTTTTTCTGCTGACATTGCCATTCTTTTCCTTAATCTAGTACCTCCATTTGCTGTATTTTACTAAAAAGTCATAGAATTAAGAGTGGCTGCTGCAAGTCACTGGGCGTTTCTCTACTTAAAAACGTTAATCTCACATGGTATTAATATTGCTACATTAATGATTGAAAGGTTCACTCAGCTGTCTGTATGATTTTTCTAATCATTGTTAACTATCTGAATATTTGGAAATAATTGTACCATGCACTGACTTTTTCTGATTGCCTTGGGTGCTGGAAGTTTTAACATATAATGTCAGACACAACTGAGTAAATAGTAAGCTGTATATATTTTATTGTATTGTTATTTATATTATGTCTACTTTGTGTCAGAAAGGATTTAAAGCTCTTGTTTTAAGAATTGGTATGCTACATTTTTCAAAATCTGTGTGTAAAAATAATTTCCATAAATATCATTATAATTTGCTTTTTATGTGTATTACAAAATCAGTTATGTGTTCTGGTAAATATTTTGATCCCAAGAGGAAGCAAGATTACATGTAGAATGTGACAAATTTTAAACATTAATTTTGTTGTAAAGAAATCTTCATAATGATATTCCATAAAGTTATTACTATGCATGGAAGGTAGCATAACATAGTGATTAATAGCAGGTCCTTGAAGTCAGAGGCACAGTCTCAACTTGACTACAAAAGTTATCAGCTGTGTGATCTTGGGAAAGTAACCATTCTCCGCTTTAGTTACCATAGCTGTAAAAGGTGGATAATAATTGTAGATGCGGTCACGTTGTCGTGGCGAACATTTAGTGAGGCAACTCACATGAGGGGCTAGCATAGCGTAAGTGCTTAATCATCGCCAGCTGTTCCCCTTGGCATAGCTCTCGATGTTAGAGTGGCATGCCGCAGTTACCTTCTTGAGAGCCACTAAGCATGGGAATGCTAGCAGCCCACATAATTTTTGGAGATTTGTTTGAGGAGCCTGCATTGGCTCCCAGCTCTCAGAGTTGACAGAGTGAAGGTAATGGCTTCTGGCTTTCGTTAGAGTTCCTGAAAGATACGAGAAGATGGTTCTGGTGATGACAATCCACTGGTTTGTGAGTGGAAATCTAGTTTAATGTCATCTTTGTCATTTGTGGCGTAGTCTATTGGTGCCTGATACAAACATCTAGAGTGGGGAAAATAACACCTTAAAGAAATAGGTCCATGATTCCCCTACTGTTTTTATTATGTACCCCAACAGTAAAACGTTTTAAGTATATTTGCGAATTATACATCTGTACATCTTTACTAATATGTACATTACAAACCTGTGCCAAAAATAAGCTAAAAAGAGATAAGATTAAAAACTAGAATTAGTCAGAAGGTTTAAATGTTTTAAGGTAAGATTCAGTATCATCAACAGTGGGTGTAAACCCACATTTCAAATAACCTTGGTGGTTTCAGAATCCTCTAGTTGATTCACTTTTGGATTCATGTTGTCAGTGTTTCCATCTTGTTTTGTGGCTGAGAAGAGGAGGACCAGTGTCACTTCTGCCATTTTCCTGTTGATGGTTTATGTCTGCCTTCTTGGAATCATATTTAAGGAAAAGTTCTTTGCAGGAATCTTTTAAACCCCATGTTCATTTGGTGAAGATTAGTTAAAACTGAATTATATAATCTGTTTCTATCTAACTGAGCCAGACAAATTGTAACACATTTCAGGCCATGCGTGCTTGTGAGCTTGTGAGAAGGCCACTATCAACCCCTCTGTGGTCAAGAGCTCCCCCTTCCCTGAGGTTACCTTATGTGCTCAAGGCAGCTGTCAACATAGGATAGACCAAGGGTGTTGATGTCAATGGTTACTTTACCTGTTGTGTAACTATTAGTGAACTCATTTAGTGAGCTCATTTATGATTGTTTATATGATTTTAGTTATACTCATCTGGCACCCCGTTCCTTGGGGCACCACTCTCCTAGACTCAGAAGCCATTGTGGTTCCTGCAATATCTTGACCATGATGTTCTGTGACAGAATGAATGAGACCTTAGGTGCAGTGGACTTCGTTTTCTGAAACTAGCTTTACTCTCTTGATCACGTAGTGGTATAGCTCTTCATTGTTTGCAAATCAATGTTCACATATTTCTGTCATTTGAACTCAGCACCTCTATAGGGCAGGTATTGTAGGTCTGATTCCGTCCATTCTAAACATGGAAGAGATGAAACCACCAGACTGCAGATGGAAGGTAATTGCCTAAGTTCATGCAGCAGTAGAGCTGGGTTTGAATTTGTTTTTGAAAGCAATATCATCCTGATTCTGTTCTGTCATGTTAACACACTTTTTAAACAATATTCATATTCATCTGAATGGAGGAGAGACAGAGCTATAAAACCAAACAAGTGGTACTGGGAATGCATTAAGAGAAAGCATGTATATTATTAATAGAATAAATAATCAATTAATAGAATAAAGTAAATTAGATGGAAAGATATTTTATTGAAAGAATAAAAGAATTAATAGAATAAAAATATTAATAGAAAAAATAATCAAATAGATAATGTGCAGGAAGGGGATTTGCATTTATAAAGCATCTATTGTATCTTATGTTCTTTACACATATAATCCCTTTAATATAGTTCTATACTTGCAGGGATAGATTTTACATCTAAAGAAATTGAGGTTCAGAGATGTTAAGTAATTTATCAAAAGTACACAGCATTTAAATTGTAGCTTTTAAACCAAAGGGATCTGGCATTTAAAAATTTCAGGTAATGTTAAAATAGCACAATGTATTGAATGTGAAAGTTTTTCTGTCAGTTTTTGTTCCAAATTGGATCTCTAGCTTTGACTAAAAATCAACCATGACAATAAATGTTGGCAGGGATGTGGAGAAACAGGGTCACTCCTATACTGCAGATGGGAATGTAAAATAATGTAGCCTCTGGAAAACAGTTTGGCAGTTTCTTTAAAAGCTAAACTTGCTAGTACCATATAACTCCACAATTGTACTCCTCAGCATTTATCCCAGATAAATGAAGACTTAAGTTCACACAGAAATATGTACATGAGTGCTTATAGCAGCTTTATTCATCATAGTGAAAAACCGGAAACAACTCAAATAGCCTTCAATGAAAAGACAAACTTACCCATTCTGTTAACAGTTAAATATATATGGTTAATTGTGGCACAGCTTTACCGTGGAATACTACTTAGCGATAAAAAGGAACACATTATTGATAAGTGCAACAGACTGAATGGATCTCCAGGGAATTATGCTGGATGAAAAAGCCAAACCCAAAAGGTTACATACTGTATGGCTCCATTTATATAGAATTATTGAAATGACGAAATTATAGAAATGGAGAAAAGTGAGTGGAAGGGAAGTGAGTGTGGCCATAAAGAGGAACAGAAGCAGTGGGGTGGAAGGGAATTAAGGAATTAAGGAACAGTGGGGTGAAAGGGAAGTGAGCGTGGCCATAAAAAGGCAACAAAATGGATGCTTGTGACACTGGAAATGTTCTGCATCTTAACTGTGTCAAGATCAGTATCCTGGCTCTGATATTGTACTGTGTTTTTGCAAGATATTACAATTGGGAGAAACTGGGTAAAGGGTGCATGGGATCTCCACTATTTCTTACAACTGCATGAGGATCTACAATTATCTCAACATAAAAAAGCTTAATAAAAATGCCAACTGGTCTTCAGGAAGTTCTGTTCCATGCTTTCCATAACTTACCTGAAAAGAGGGGATGGGCAGCTGAAAATTTAGGAGCTCCAAACTCTGAGACTGACTTTCAGCAAACTACTCAAATTATTCTGAGTTTCCCCCTTGATTCTTCTTATGGATTGTAGGACATTCTTCCTCCTATTTTGGAGAAGAAAAAAATGCCACATCTCTATCATAGGACTTCTGCTCTACATATGACTTAAAAATCTATCAGTTAACTGATTTACACACTAGAAGATGAAACTTGATTATATTAGATTCCATTGTCACAATTTCTTTTAAAAATCAGAGTTTTCATCTTTCTTGTCTATTTTTTTCTGTCTTACTTTATTTTCTTCTTTTTCCTACTCTATCTAAACCCATATTTTCCTGTATTGCACTGTTTAGTCTAAAAACTAGTAAGCCTGAATATTGTTGATTAAATTCATAACTGACACTCTTTAAATGAGAACGATAAAGATTCTTGAGCCCCCACATATATGCTATGCTTGCTGTATGCTTGGGTGTTCTTATTTTCGGAGAGAAGTAATAGAAATTATAAATGTTATTTAAAAAAATTACTGGTGATTTGTTGAGAAGATAAAGTAACAATGCTCTTACAGAGGGTTGGTCTTGATTTTCCAGGCCACCAGTGCAGTAACAGAGCCCTCTGCAAACACCTGATAATGCTGAAGAGTGTTTTAGTCATTGTAGAGGAGCTGCTGTCATGACAAATAGGGGTTAAATTGTGAGAATTTCAGGATATATTTTGGGGAAGGATTAAATAAATCAGGGTACTTGCTGACAGAAAATAGTATCTTTGATTTGAAACACAGAATCAGAGAATTGAGATGAATCCCAGGTGGTGGTTGGGAGTTGGAAAAAATCCCAATAAGTTGGCTAAGTGTAGGCTTCGTTTCAACATCATTAAATAGTCTTTAAGTACTGACTTAATAGTAGTTGCCCCAAGAAAAGGCTGCTAAATACAGTGGTGGAATTAACTATAT